TTCCGCTGGGAAATGCGTGCGTCCCGGGCGAGGGGGCATTCTGGGAGTTCATGCTGCGCCCGGGCTGCCCGGCCGCCGCTCTAAGCGTCTCGGGCCGCTGCGCCTCCGGCTCCGGCTCCCGCGGCGCGCCCCCGGGGACTCCCCGTGCCCGTGGCGGAGGCCATGACCGGAGAGAAGATCCGCTCGTTGCGGGGGGACCACAAGCCCAGCAAAGAGGAGGAGGGGGACCTCCTGGAGCCGGATGAGGAAGCGGCGGCTGCCCTCGGCGGCGGCGGCGGCACCTTTCCAGGGGACAGGCTGGGCACCAGCGGCGGCGGCAAGGGCGGCAAAGCCTGCCATCGGATCTTCAGTAACCACCACCACCGGCTGCAGCTGAAGGCAGCTCCGGCTGCCTCCAACCCCGCCGGCGCCCCGGCTTTGCCGCCGCACAGTCCTTCCGTGACCCCCAGCTCCCAGCACCCCGCTGCTCTCGCGGGCACCGGTCCCGTTGCTGCGGTCGCCGATGGAGGTGGTTGCCCCGCGCACTACCCTGTGCACGAGTGCGTCTTCAAGGGGGATGTGAGGAGACTGTCCTCGCTCATCCGCACTCATCACATCGGGCAGAAAGATAATCACGGTGAGGAGCCCTCCCCTCTCCAATGTGCTGCCTCCCGCCGGAGGTGGGCGTCCCCAGGCCTCTGGTCTCCCAACAGACCGTTCCTCCGGCCACTTTGCACGTGATCTCTCGGCCACACGCCGGGGCTTGGCCAGGTCACGGTTGATGATGTGGTGGTGGTGGTGGTGGTGGTGGTGGTCGCCGGGCTGGGTGTCGATTCCTGTGGGTCCAAAAGAATGTGTTCCTTCTTGCCTCCTTGCAAGTTTCTTGTGAGCAACTATTTTGTTTATCTTTGAAACAGGCCTTCGGTGTGCTGGACTCAATTTGGACTGTAAGAAATTTTAGGATGCCAGCTTTCTTCCTTTGTTTAAGGAACTATATATTTTCGTCTTTTCCCCTTCCATCCAGGGATCTTTAATTTGTTCATAAAAATTGCTCTCATCGCATCATTACTCATGCCCAGATCCCAGCTTGATTGCAACTGGTGTGACTGCTACCCGCCATCAGCTTGTCTATTTCTTTGCTTTCAGGAAACTTAATTTGATACATCGTATCCACAATTTACACTTAAAACGAGTTATAGTTTTGATTTCTGAAAGCCGTGCACTTTGGTGTTTGATGTGTAGGACAACTAAGGTGGTTTCTGAGCAGTTAATTTTTTTTTAACAACGTTTTGAGATTTCTGTTTATTTTTGGTGGTTAATTGCTAGTAGTAATAACTTAATGATTGACTAAAAATAGTAACTTCATAATAAGTTCGTTATAGCCAGTGAAACAAAGTATATTATTTTATTGAAGTAAAGGTTCTACAAGCTTTAGCTTACCTCATCAGAGGCGGTATTTTGTTTCTACTTCTGATAATGTGCTCAAAGATGACAAGTACCATTAAACTTATTAATGAAAATTAATATGAACAGTCTAATTTATTTTGATTGTTTAACACGTCATTTAAAATTGAGTTGTCAGCAGGTGTTGTTGATAGCTCTGCTTTTTTAACATGATAACTTTTGTATACATTTATTTAACCCCTGTATTCAAAATAACATGAAACATTGATGAAATAATTTCCTGTAGAATACATTCTTTAATTCTCTTGAATTCTAGGTTGTTATAGGAAAATAGAATAGGAGTTGAGATATAAAAATTGTACAAGTTTATTATTGGTTATATAATTAACAAGTGTACTAATTTTCTGAATTATAGTATTTTAGTACTTGTTTTATATCATAACCTCCTTAATAGTTCCTCAAAGTGCCAAACAATTTTTTTATCGATTTTTAATTTGTTTCATCGTTTACTGTTGTCATACTAAGCATAATATTTGTTGATGGTAATTATGTGCTCATCGTTGAGAAGCAGTCATTAGTGGGAGACGTGTTGTAGCCTCTGGTACTACTTAATTGTTAGGAAAATTATCAGACAGTCTGCATAGTAGCGTTATGTTTCATTGTATGGCCTAGCCCTTAAGATTTAAGGTTGTTACTTTGAAATATCTTGGAAAACAGACAAAATACTCCTTTTGAGAGAAACTCCCTTTAAAAGAAGAGGTAAGTTAATATGACTGGCAAAGTACTTAGCAAAGTAGGTTATGACTAATTTCTCGGTTGGTCTCAGAAGGTGCTAAATTGTAGCACTATTGGCCTTTTCATGTTTGTTGATCCATGGGAAACGTTTGATAAAGAAGAAATTCTGTTCCAGTCTAGTTAGAATCATATATTATCAGATAATTTTTAATTCTCTGAAATTCTCTTTTTAAATTGCTTTGTGTACCAAATGTTTGCATTGTATTTAACTGCCCCTGTGTTTTTCTTTTTGAATTAAAAAAGCATGTTTTTAAAATTATCTACACAAAACAGGTTTCATATTCTATTTGGATTGTTATAGCTTGATAGATCAGAAGCAGGACTATACATAGCAGAGCCACATAATCATACCACATCATATCACATAATTAGTTTTATACCGACTGTAGAGATTCTTTCCATAGCCTGATAATGATGTGCCATTGCAAACATAATTTATGGAATGTGTCAGCATTATGTTAATTGTTTACATAAATTATCCCATTTGATACAACAACCCTGCAATGCAGTTACTTTTATCATCTTCCTTAAAGGAGAAGAAAGTGAATCTCAGAGACACAAGGGCACTTTGCTAGCCTTTTGAATTTAGTATGATTGGCACAGCTTGCAACTGAGAAATGACTAGGATGCCAAAGCCAATGCTCCACCTACTATGAGGACCTAGTTTATTGAAAAGAAGTCCTCCTAGTAATGTACACCATGTGGCTTCACAAAGCTGGTAGATAATGGAAAGAAAAGATGACAGAATTTCTCCCCAGGCTTTAAAAAAAAAGCAGTTTTAATAGTACTTCTTCCACATGTTATACAACTCAATTATTCAATCATCAAGAAGAGTTGTACAATTCTCACCTCACCATATTCAATTCTAAAACATATTCTTCCTTGTATTCATTGTTATTTATGTACTGTTTTTCTACGTGTATAATTCAGTGTCATTATACTCTTCTGTACAACCATTATTGAGAACATTTCAAAATTCTTCCACCACCATTGACAAAACGCAGTGACTCCCACGCAACAACTCTTTCCCCTTCACCCGTGGTAACCACTGTCAAGTTTGGTTTCTTTAGTTTTTTCTTTTCCCCATGATTTTCATGATAAAGTATTTACATATCAGACACTTCCATGCCTCAATCGCTTTTAAAGTGAGTCTTAAAATATACATAATTACAATCAGTGCTTCCTCCTCATTCCCACATTGTTCTCAAAAATCCTTCCCTTCCCTATCTCCCACCTCCACCCCACCCACCCCCACATCCCTGATAAACCATTGCATCAGTTATCTGTATGCATCGACTACTTCTGTGCTTCACAAACCGGAAAACCCAACAGAAAAATAAAAAACAAAAACAAGGTATTATGGGTAAAATGATAATAAAAACAATATGAAAGTAAAAATAATAATCACTTTTAAAAGCCAGGGAAGAAATTTTTGTTATTGACCAAGCAAGAAATTCTTGAACCTAGAACAAATTCAGTTTGGGTCAAGAGGTAGGTCAATTGACCAACTATCATAATCAAGCTTACAGTCCCCTCTGATAGTAAAGCTGTTTGAGACTCTAGTCTATGGCTAGAAGGGGTCTGCCAGAGGCTAATCGGACTAGATACTCTGCAGATGGGTTTGGGTTCCCACTGCCCTGATAGCATTCTACAATTTGGGCATTCACAATTTAAGCTCTGATATTTTTCCCTTTATCATATTTGGATTTTGCTATTGTCATCTTTGAATCACACAAGTTGGCGTGCTTCTCCCACGTGGACTTAGTTGACTCCTTATTTAAATGGCTGCTGGTTTGAATACAAGCCTTTAAGACTCCAGGCAGCATTCTGATTGATAGCTGGGCACCATCTTCTTTCATCACTACATTTTACTGTAGCACGCTTTTTTTCAGTGATCATTTCACACAGGTGAATATCAGGAGAGCCATATTATCAGAACTAACTGTTCTTGGATTGGGGCTAGAGTTAAGTGGGAGCCTAGAATCCATCTGCTTGTCAGTGGGTTCTACAGGACTCTGGCCATAAGACCAACTACAACAATAGCAACAGCAACAGCCACAAACCAACCAGCAAACAAGCAAAACAAAAACAAAAGGCAGAAAAACAAAACCGACAAAACAAAAACATTTTCAGTCATTCCCCCAACCTAAAAAATCCACAGATTTTTTTGAAGCTCCTTGGGCATGGTGATTTACAGAAAACAGGATCTCAAGTAGTTTTTCCCCTCATTTGTTTAAATAATCAAATGTTTATTTAATTCATAGCCTCCGAAACATAACTGATTGGAATATATATTATATTGAATACATTTTCTTAAATAACTCCATAGACTTAGAGTGCTTTTTTCAGTCTTTCTGTAGAGCTTAATTCTCACATTCTTGTTAGTTCCATTTGTTTTATGTAATGACATGGATAAATAGCCCACCTTGTCAATACAACAGCTCTTTAGATATTTGGCAAGAGCTAGTCTCCTTACAAGTTAAACATTCTTAACTTTTGTGTCATTCCTCATTTGACATGGTCTATAAAGTGTGCTTAGAATGTTGTAGGGATCATAGGAAGTATTCTGTAAATGTGTTAAATAAATAAGAAGGTGAAAATATTTTTACCTTTTTAGTAAAATTCGTAAATCTTAAATTTCTTGACTTTGTTGGATGGTACCCAAACCTAACTTTGGGCTTGAGTTTGAGCCTTATAAGTAACACACACTTAGTAATACAGTAGAAGGGAATGTTAATGACATATTTCTCTCAAATAATTACTTGTCCTTTTTTGCAGTTTTTGAAACCTCAAAACTGGACTTTATCTTTATTAAATTTTATCTTGTTGGTTTTTGATCTTTCATTTAACTTAGCTTTATAAATCTTAACTTAGTTGTGATTAAATTGACCATTCAGTTCTCAGCAATCTCCAGTCTGACAAGTTTTTGTATGTGGACGAGTTTGCAAATCATTGATTGCAATTGAGTAGGAACAAGGATAGAATATGTTCTTTTGTGACAAATGTTGGAATTCTTTTATTTCAAATATCAACTCTTTTGAGAAGTGTTCGAATCTGGGTGCAAGCATACTTCTTGGAATGTAAGTTCCATACGTTAATACCCTACTATGACGTATGTTCCGTCTGTTCAAATACGCCAAGTGATTGCAACACATCATCTATCTAATAACCAGTTTTCTTTGGGTGGGTGGGGAAAAGAACATTACATTAAATGCATGAAATTTATTAAACTTTGTATTTGTTTCTGTTTTATTTTTTTGTGTATATGTGTAGCAATTGAATTTGTATTTAAGCCTTTTGTCACATTTATAAAGATTTTTAAAATGAATCATTTCTGCCATTGGTGGCTAGCCATCATGTTTACCTACCTGCCTTTTTTCATTTTTTTAAGCGTTGGTCCTCATTATTGATATTTTCTGATTATGACTCTGACATATA